GGGGGGTGGTTCTGTTCCTGGGCAGACACTCCAGACTCCAGGGCCTCCTCACACACCAGGCACTGCCGCCCTTCCTGCGCGGCCCAGAATGCTCTGCTACTCTGAACATCCTCGTGTTTAAAGGCAGAGAATTTAAGCCCAAAGCCCTGATGTTGGCAGAGCAAGTATGTCTGAAATCCTAATTTAATAATCCCGTTTAAGGATTTATCACAACTGTGTATTTCCTGTGAAGACAGAGACTGTCCCTTTCGTGTAGTGTCTGTGCACGGCCCTGAATGTGTAATTTCTTACCTGGATGTGAAGTTTTAAAACGTGGCGTGTGTTCTTGCGGCTTCTCACTGCCTGGGCCTGTCTGAGCTGCTGCCCGGAGGGGGAGCGGGTGGCCTAGGTGGCCCCATTCTCATGGCGACAGCCCCTGAGCCCCAGGACTGCACTTTGGCCTGGAGGGAAAAAGGAAAATTCTCTCTCCCTCGTCGGAGCAGGGATTGCCGAGACTCGACTCGACGCGTAAAATCGTGTCCTCATCACCCTCTGTTCCCTCAGGGCCTTCCGAGAGGAGCTCTGGGAAGAAAACCTAAAGCAGCACATTCAGAAAACGCACAAGGGAAGAGAAAGATTTCGAGGCACAGCGCCACTCAAGGAAATGAGTCCGGCTGCCCGGGACTTGGAGATTGTAAGTGCGCATTGGCTCTGTGTAAAAACGAATCGTTCTGTTCAGAATCGGAGGGAACCTGCCGCGCCTCTTCAGAGCACGCGTTCTCTCGATCGTGGGGAGCGCTCCACGTGCCTCACGTGACGGACGTGCCCAGAATCGCGCTTCGTGGGAGGATAAGAGGTGTTTTCTTGGCGTGTGAGGTGCGTGAGCCCCCTGACACATTGTGCCACCTGCCGGGACCCCGGCACGGCCTCCGCTTTATCGGCAGGGACAATGGGGACGGGCCCGTGGGGTCCTTGCCCGACGCCTGGTAACCAGCAGAGCCTGGTGAGACCCTGACGGGGCTGGAGTCGGCTGACCCCCTGGAGCCCATGGGCAGGGAGGCAGGCCCCTTTGCACAGACGTGTGCTGTGTGTGCAGAAATGGTCGGGGTTATGGGAGTGATACCGCGCTCAAGAAAGGTGGCTTCCTGCCCCAGATGACACATAGTTATCCACCCAGCGGTAAGGGGACCTGTCACCTCCCCAGAGTGACCGGCTTCAGGCTGTGCAGGCTGAGCCTGATGCCTCTGTGCCCTTGCTGCTCACGGACGCAGGAAAACCCGTCTGCTCTCCCCGGCCCCCCGAGCCCAGGCTCACCTTGACGCAGCGGCTCGGCACCAAAGCTGCCCAGAGAGCCGTCCCCACAGCCCGTCGGAGGGCTCCGTCGCCTCCTCTGTCCACGGGGTCCACGGGGCAGGAGGAGGGGAGGAGGGAGTGCAGGCAGGGCCTGGGCTGCCTCTCAGGGACCCCACCCTGTCAGACTCTACCCTCTGCCGGCTTTGCCTTCCCAGCCCAGAGAATTGCACCTGCCCTCAGGTAACTTTATTCTCTCCAAATCCGTTGTTCGTGGCTGTAACCTCCTCCTTAAACACCCCAAGCTCTACCTCCTAAGGCTTCTAAACATCTGTGCCTCGAGCTTCAACTGTGGAGTGAAAGGCCGGTCTGGCATTATGAACAGCTGTACTCACAAGTCTGATAACCTAACACGGAATGGACCATGCCTTGGAAGACGCCATCTGCCAAAACTCACACAAGAAATAGCCAGTCTGAATATCTAGTATCTATTAAAGGAATCCAACCGATAATAATTTTCAAGTGAGTTCACTGGAGAATTCTATCAAACGTTTAAGGAAGAAATGATACCATTCTCTATAATCTCTTCCAGAAAATAGAGGTGGAGGGGAAACATCGTAATTCATCCTATGAGGCCAGCATCACCCTAATACCAGAACAAAGACGTCACAAACTACAGGCCGGTGTCTCCCCTGAACACAGATGTGAAAATCCTCAACAAAATATTAGCAAATCAAACCTGACAATGTATGAAAAGAATTATACACCATGACTAAGTGGAGTTTGTCCCAGGTGCACGGGGCTGGTTCCACATTCAAAACCCATTTCATGTAACGCATCGTCACCTTGTGGCCGAAGAAGGAAAATCACATGATCGTACCATTTGGTGCAGGAACAGCATTTAACAGAATCCAGCACCTGTTTGTGGTAACTGCTTGTAGCAAACTAGGCACAAGTGGAACTTCCTTGACTTGATAAAGAGCATCTACAGAAACTACGGCGAACATCGTACTTCATGGTGAGAAACTAGAAACTACTTTTCCCCTGAAGGTCGGGAACGAGACCATTTCTCTCCAGCATCACATGGGAAGTCCTAGCTACTGCAACAAGACAAGAAAGGAAAATGAGGTAGATTAAGAAGGAAGAGTTAAGACTATCTTTGTTTCTGGATGACTTAGTTGGCTGTGTAGAAAATCCCAAAGAATTGAGCAAAATCTCCTGGAACTAATAAGTGATTATGGCAAGGTTGCAGGATCCAAGGTTAAGATGTAAAAGTTAGCCGCTTACTATATACCATCAGCAAACAAGTGAGATTTTAAATTAAGAACATTCACATTAGCACCCAAAAAATGGTGCTAGGTACGAATCTAACAAAATATGTACAAGATCTGTGTGAGGAAAATAACAAAACTGATGAGTCAACTCAAACAAGAACTAAATGGATGGAGAGGAATCCCATGTTCATGGATGGGAAGGCTCAATATCGTCAAGATGGCGGTTCTTCCCAAGTTGATGAAGAGATTCAGCAGAATCCCAATCAAAATCCCAGCAAGTTATTTTGTGGATATCGACAACCCGCTGCTAACGTTTATATGGAGAGGAGACAAAGGCCCAGAATCGCCCACACAACACTGAAGGAGAACAAGGTTGTAGGACTGATACTACCCGACCTGCAGACTCACGGTAAAGTCACAGTAATCAAGACGGCGTGGGGTTGGTGGAACATAGACAGATGGGTCAGTGGATCAGAGGAAGACCCACATAAGTACAGTCGACTGATATCCGACAAAGGAGCGAAGGTAACACAGCAGAGCAAAGATGGCGTCTTCAACAGATGGCGTTGGAACCACTGGGCGTCCACGTGCAAAATAGCGAATCTAGACCCAGACCTTACGCCTCCCCGAAAGTGAACCGAAAGTGGGTCACAGAACTAAATGTAAAATGCAAAACTGTAAAACTTGTAGAAAATGACGTAGAAAACATGGGTGACCTTGGGTTGGCGGGGAATTTTTAAATAGAACATCAAAGGCACCACAAAAAAAAATGATAATGACTTCATTAAGATTTAAAAATTTGTCTCTGCGAAAGATACTGTCAAAAGAATAAGATGCCAGGGGCACCTGGGTGGCTCAGTCAGTTGAGTGCCCGACTTTGGCTCAGGTCATGATCTCATGGCTCATGAATTCAAGCCCCACATAGAGCTCTGTGCTGACAGCTCAGATCCTGGAGCCTGCTTCAGATTCTGTGTCTCCCTCTCTCTCTGCCCCTCCCCACCTTGCACTCTGTCTCTGTCTCTCTCAAAAATAAACATTAAAATAGGGTCGCTTGGGTGGCTCAGTCAGTTGAGTGTCCAACTTCGGCTTAGGTCATGATCTCGCAGTCTGTGAGTTCAAGCCCCATGTCGGGCTCTGTGCTGACAGTTCAGAGCCCGGAACCTGCTCCGGATTCTGTGTGTCCCTCTCTCTCTGCCCCTCCCCCACTCACGCTCTGTCTCAAAGATAAATAAACATTTTTTTTAAAAGTTTTAAAAAAAAATAAGATGCCAAAGACTGGGAGAAAATAGTTGCAAAAGACACATCTACTAAAGGACTGCTTATCCAAAATATAGAGAGAAAACAACCCAATTAAAAAGCGAGCCACAGATCTGAACAGACACTTCACCGAAGAAGATATATAGATGTTAAGTAAGCATATGAAAAGATGCTCAGTATTGTATGTCGTTAGGAAATTGCAAATTAGAACAGAGAGGTACCACACACACCTATTAGAATGGTTATAATCCAGTCACGGACGACACCAGATGCTGGTGAGGATGTGGGGCAGCGGGAACTCTCGTTCATGCCGTGGGGACGCCAGACGGCACAGCCACTTTGCAAGACAGTTTGGTGATTTACTACAAAATTGAATGTACTCTGAACTTGAGGTCCAGCAATCGTGCCCCTAGGCATTTTCCCAAGAGTTCAAAACTTAAGTCCAGACCAGAACTTGCTCACAGATGTTCATAGCAGCTTCACTCATAGTTACCAAAACTTGGGAGCAACCAGGATGTCCTTCTTTAGGTGAGCGGGTAAATAAACCGTGGTCCCTCCACACCGTGGAGTACCATTTGGCCCCAAAAAGGAACAAGCTGTCACATCATGACTAGACCTGAGGGAGCCTCACATGCATATCACTGAGTGAAAGAGCCCATCTGAAAAGGCTGCAACTGTATGACGTTCTGGAAGAGAGAAAACTCTGTGCACAGTAGGAGCCTCTGTGGCTGCAGGGCTGGGGGACAGAGAGATGAGCAGGCGGAGCACGGGGGATGTTTAGGGTGGTGCCAGCTCTGTGACAGCACAGTGACGGACACCTGTCATTACACATCTGTCTGGGCCGGCAGAACGCACACCAGGAGTGAGCCCTGCCGTAAACCACGGCCCCTGGGTGATGGTGATGTGTGAGAGGCAGGTCACGGAGTGTAAGGCGTCCCGTCTGGTCTAACAGGAAGCTGAAACCTGCAAAGGGCCAGGAGAGAACGGAGTGGCCTCACCACCGGGGGGCGGGGGGGCAGCAAGGAACTCTGTCCTCAGGCTGGCAGGCCAGGTGCCCACGGACAGAGGCGTGCCCACGCAAGGTCTCGCCGCGCTCCTGTCTGCGCGGCCTTTCTCTGGAAGCTACTGCAGAGTGCATCCTTCCAAATCAAGTCAGCAGAACGGGAAAGGAGTGAGTGTTCCAGAAAAAAGGAAGCTGACCCAAAAGAGAGCCCAGGACCCCCCCCCCCCCCCAGGCTGTCGGCTGTGCAGGCCACCAGCCTGGAGCTCAGGGAGGAGCCCCGAGGGTCTCTCCAGGGCAGACAGATCGCTGAGCATTTGACCAAGGGGACAGGATGTCGAGAGGTTCCCGGACAAGTGTGTCGAAAACAAAGCAAATCTTGGGGCGCCTGGGTGGCGCGGTCGGTTAAGCGGCCGACTTCAGCCAGGTCACGATCTCGCGGTCCGTGAGTTCGAGCCCCGCGTCGGGCTCTGGGCTGATGGCTCGGAGCCTGGAGCCTGTTTCTGATTCTGTGTCTCCCTCTCTCTCTGCCCCTCCCCCGCTCATGCTCTGTCTCTCTCTGTCCCAAAAAAATAAATAAACGTTAAAAAAAAATTAAAAAAAAAAAAAAAAACAAAGCAAATCTTTCTGAAGGAGCGGTTAGTAATTGCACGACGAACGTAGATTTCTGCAGGGAAGAAAACAGGCAGCGCGGCCGGGGCGGCACAGGTCCGCTCGTAGGCGGGTCTTTGACAGTACGTGCTGTAACTTGTCCTTGTGGTTTCCTCAGTGACGTCGTCTTCTCTCTAGCTGACTGTCGTAAGATGACGTCTGGAACACACACCACATACAAAGTAGCTGTTAATCAACGGTGTGTGTTATTGGCAACAGAGGCCTAACTTCTGGGCCGCTCGTACAGTTTGGGGGAGTTAGTAGTTACACACGGATTTTCTGCCGTGCAGGGTTGGCGCCCCTAATCCCACGTTGTCCAAGGTAGTAATTGTTACCCAGCCATAATGACGTGGACCTGAACGTTAACCCACGGTTGTGACGGATCTGTACTAGGGGTCTCGGTGCCTGGGCTGGAGGGCGGTCCGGGTTATGCCCCGGGGAGGTCCCAGCACTGCAGACGCGAGTACTCGCTGGCCAGCTTCTTGCGGGACCGGGACAGGAAAGGGCCTGCCTCCTCGACGCTGGCCACTTTATCCCACTGAGGGCCACGGAGCCCCGTCCACCACTTTTCCTGGCCCAGCAGACTGGCTGAGAACATGGGATCTGGAGCGGCACAGGACTCCCCGCTGGGGATCTCCTTCCACTATTAGGGACCCTGGTCCTGCTGCTGTGTCTGTGGGGTGAGGGTGCAGTTGAGGCCCTGCCCCCCCAGGACAGGCATGAGGCTCTGGTGGGGTCATGGTCAGGGATGGTGCCCATGTTGGCCACATGAGGAGCCCCTGCTCCTGTCTTCAACCCTCCACAGACTGGCATTCACTCAGCTGTGGGCAGGTGTCACAGGTGGGGCCCTGGTGGGGACTCCGGGAGGCACAGCCCACGGGCCTACCCGGAGAGGTCACTGTCCTCCTTGGGAGGGAGGGTGCTCAGCCGGCTCCCCTGCAGACCCCGGGACACGACAGAGCGCTGCGCACCTGTACACGGTCCTCCTGTGTGGATGGGGCTGTGCCCCCACCCCGGGCCCTGCCAGCTGGGCTAACGTCCACCCCCTCCCTTTCTCCCGAAAGGCCAGGAAGCTACAGGATCAAGTGACGGAGTCGGGACCGGGGCCGACCTTAACTAGAAGCCACCGGTTCGCGGCTCTCGCTGGGCACCGTCCACGCCACCCACCTGCGTCCCAGCCCCAGAAGATATTGTTCGACACGAAATACTGAGTCTGAGGACGGTCGCGAGTGCTAATGAGTGAGGATCCCTGGCGCTGACAAAGACTCTTCAGACCAAGGAGTGGGTGCAGCGGCTCGTGGGCCCTGCCCGGGTGTCCTTCCCTGAGAGCGCGCCCGGGGCATCCGCTCCAACGCCACCCCCTCCCCCCGGGGTCTGCGTGGCTTTTTCAGAGGCTGTAAAAGGGTTAAGCCGGATTAAAGGAGAGAACACCAAGGACGAGCCACCGGGTGTGCACTCCCGTGCCCGCGTCTCTGCCCGTCTCACCGACGGCACGTCCGCGGGTCAGCACCCGGCCCTCCCCTCTGCCCCCGTCAGCCCCTCCTAGCTAGCCCTCACCCAGGCTGCTCAGACCCTCCTGCAGGAGCCTCCGACTGAGTGTTCAATAAATTCAAGGGCTTGACCTTGAAACTATCTTTGATTTGGCTTCTCAGCTCCTTGACCTCTTGGTGGGAGGGAGGCAGGGTTAGACCAGGCCCGCCATGGGGTCCAGTGACCAACCCCCCAAAGACCCTGGCTTGGTTTTGCATGGCTACTGCCCTTGTGGGGTACCACCTGATGTCTCATGGGGGACCCAAGCCGCCCCCAGCTTAGCACCCACTTGACTCGGAAGACAGGCAGGTTGGAGGGGAGGGAGCCTGGGGCAGTGACCAGGGACACTCCCCACCCCAAGTTCTTTCCCTTTCCTTAGGTCAACCAGTGGTTGATTTTTTGCTTCTCCTAAGTACTCATTCTACCATTCTATGATTTGTTCATTTTGGTGTTTCCTTCGTTGATTCTGAGCCTACACAGAGGTCACTGATCCTGCTAGCACTGGTGGGGGGCAATTTTAGAGTCCTATCCTAGCTTGGCTGCTGATTGGGCCTTGTGGTTGGTTCCCTTGTAGATTTGGGGTGTCTGAGGTGGGGGTGCCCTCCTCCCGGTGGAATTGGGGTGTCTGGGTGGGGTGCCCTCTCCCCAGTTTAATCGGGGTGTCTTGGGTGGGGGGGTACCCTCCCTCCAGTGGAATCAGGGTGTCTGGGATGGGGGTACTCTCCCCGCTGGCACTGCTCCTCTCCTGTTTGGTCACTGACCTCCATCCTTAATCCCTGAGTGAGCACATCTGTGCTAACTGCCTGGATGGTGCATCCTGGGACCTCGAGGCCTTTTCTGCCCAACAACCCTGGGAAGGGGGAGGGAGGAAGAGCCAGAGGAAGGGCCAGGAACCCCTGGGGGGCAGGGATTGTGCTAGGAAATGGGATGGCGTGGGCTGCAGGGCCATGGCCGCTGTCCAGAGCAGTTGGTGCAATCCAGGGGCCTCTGCACACGGCGTCCCCCACCAAGGACCTGCTCTCTGGAGCCACCAGGGCTGACACCAGGCCTTGGCGCAGTAACCCAAGTTTCCCTGCAGGTGGTGCCTCGAGTTAGCCAGGACAAGGCACACAGCCGCCACTGAGCTGCAGGGCAGGGGCTGTGCCCTCTCCTGCACACGCCTGCGGCCTGGGCCCATGTAGGGCCCCCCC